GTCTAAGAAGGAAAAGAAGTCCAAGGACAAGAAGAAGCCAAAGATCGAGGCCGTGGAGGAAGACTCAGACGACGAGATGAAGGATGCTGAGGATGATGAGAGCGATAACGATGCCACCACCCCTGCCAAGAAGGTCACCAAGCTATCAAGCGAAGAGTATGAGCGCCTTGCAGAAGCCGCCGGTCTCTCTGTCAAGAAATTCAAGCGAAAGTATGAGCGCGGCGACGTCCAGCTCAGTGCTGACGGCACGCCCAAGGTCTTCAGCAAGAAAGAACTCAAGAAGCTCCGCAAGGCCGAGGCCGCCAGCCAATCCACACCCTCAAAGTCCGCCACTGAACCCTCTCCTGAAAAGAAGAAAAAGAGAAAGCACGACGAAGAAGAGGAACAAGTCGAGCCGACCAAAAAGGACAAGAAGCAGAAGAAGAAGAAGCGCCACTCCGACGCCGAATAGAAGACGGCTCAGAGAAAAATGGTGACTTTAAAAATGCGGGTGTGGGGTGAAGGGAAGGGGACCACAAAAAGACAAAACGTATCACAACAGGGCCTGCAATAGTCTGCGATTTGTAGATGTATGATTGATACCTGAGACTTTAAATGGCGGCCGGGGGTTGGTTTTTGATGACGGAGAAGCATTCTTCTGGCCTCGAACTTCTTGTGCCGACTAGGGCGCCGGCGTTTTTGGGAAAGGGTTGAATTTGAATGGCATTTGGCGCGAAAGGCTTTCTTCTTGTTTTTGCTCTACTTTGTAATCTGTTGAAAGTTTTTTGTCATTTAGGCCTGGCTATCGTCTAATCTTGTCGATCACCCGAGGTCATGGGTGAGCGAAAGGAAACTTGTTTAGTAGACCGCAATGGCATTATTCAACAAATTCTGCGTCCTCACTTTATCAAACGTGAGTAAACTGAATGCTTTCGTTACATGCCAGGCATGCAACGAAAGGCAAAGAGAGATTTTTTAAAATAGCGCTATTGTTATCCATTACGAGTTAATCTTCTACAAAAATATACAAACTGCTTCCTCCGGTTCCTAAGCGAGCGATTAGGGGTATCCGTCGCAAGATCCTGAGTAAGACTCTTCCCAGCACCGATCCATACATGTCTTCTTCTACCCATCTCCCCCCAGGGTATCAAACGACGGGGTATCATCATCAATCTTCGTGAATCCTGCCTTGATCAAAGCCGAGAGGTAAGCCTACATTAACTTTACCAGTCACCTCTGTACCATCAACCTTCATTCATTCGGTCCAAAAAAAAGCGGGGAAAGAAAAGCAAGAGCAACAAAGTAGAAATAGGTGGCTCTAAGGAGTTGGGTCGCAACAAATCGGGTAGGACAGTAGGCGTTTGAATCGAGTCGTTCAAGCGCTAGAACATGTTGGCACTGCCGACTCGAAGTGAATGCGGAAGACAAGGTAGAGCATCGTTGAAAACTTATGGGAGCCTATCAGGAGGACATCTCTCGAAATCAAGTAGACCACGCTAATCAACCCAATCACTTCGAGTTAGCATATCACGCTCTTGTCATATGAACATACGCGAGCATCATTAGATGTTCTCTACGACGCGGGCGTTGATGGCGGCTTGCAAACCGGGGTCCTGACCTCCAAAGTCATTATTGTTACTATTGTCATTTCGGTTGTGGCCGCTGCCCTCGCCAATCTCATGGGTGGCATTCAGGGCGTTGTTGAAAGCCGTCATATTTTGGCTGGAGCCAGGCAGGAAGATAACTTTACTGTTGGCCGACTTCGCCATGGCCTGCATAGCTTCTAGGTAACGAATCTGCATGGCCGGAGCAGAGCTGAGGATGTCGGCTGCCTGTCGCATCAATTTGGCAGACTCGACCTGTACATGATTAGCTTGACCGAATTTCGATTTCAAGGGACTTGGAATTGCTCAACACACCTCTGCCTTGGCAGCGATGACCTTGCTTTCACCGATACGCTTGCTCTGGGCGGCCATAGAAAGCGACTCCTGAAGGTCCTGGCTGAAAATGATGTCCTTTATGAGCATGCTCTCAACCTGCACGCCCCATCCTGCAGCGACGTCTTCAATAATTTCGCGGATAGAGTCGGCAATCTCCTCACGTCGCTCAATAACATCCTGAAGAACGCGAGCGCCAATGACATGACGCAAGGTAGTCTGGGTACGCTCAAGAAGGGCCTGGCGGACATTGGAGATACCAAAGGCCGCCTTGTGAGGAGCCACAATATGGTAGTAGATAACAGAGGTTAGACGCAAGGTGACGTTGTCCTTGGTCATACAAAACTGCTCAGGAACCTCTGATGTCTGGATCTTGACATCGATCTGGAGGAGCTTCTCGCTGAGCGGGTTCACTTTGACTAGACCAGGATCGACAGCCTTGTAGAATCGACCGAACTTGGTGACAAGACCAACATTGCCCTGATTAACGTTCTTATATGGATTCGGGCAACAGAAGCAGAGGGGGATGGCTCCCATGGTTCCAATGCAGGCGCCAATGGTATTAACTAGGAGAGCACGTTAGCAAGAAGAGCTGGCCATTACCTGACGTCAAGGGCAGATAGATTTCGAGTTGAACGTACTCATGCTACCATACCAGCCTTTGGGGTTGGGATCGTTGCCGATAAGCGTGGCATAGCTCTGCTGAAGGTCCTCTTGCCTGGGCGGCTCGACATTCATCTTGCCCTGGGATTCATACGCAGGCGCGGGGGCCTTGCTGCTGGACGATCCTCCTCCGTTTACCTGGGCCATGATGGGTTCGGTGGACGAGGTAAAGGAAGTCACTGTTACGACTGCTGCTGGCGCAGACTTGGTGTGATTCTGGTCGGCGAGGTGTAGGCGATGGCCTGGCGAATCTAAAGGGATGGAGCGCAGAGATGTAGGGTGCAGGACTCGGAATGCGACGGTCTATGGCAGGGTATATTCGCGACTAGGTGGTGGTTCTTGAACGCAAGCTCGGTGATGGTGGGATCGATGGCTGTCCTCGAGTATTTATAAATGCTGGCACTGGCTGTCGGCCACGTCTCTGACGTCGACCAAGAGACTTGGCTGTCAATTGGGGGTCTCGTCCATCCAGATGTCCTGAAGAGGTCGACTGGTCGGTCGGGTGGTGCAAAGTGGTCTGGTGCCAAGGATGAGGCAGTGGAGCGGGCGGACAGTGGCACACAGCCTAGTGCACGTCTGGCACTGAGTGCTCACAGAAGCACACTGAGGCACAGAGGCAGTGGCAGTGGCAGTGGCAGGCGGGCCTGGGCGGATACCCGGCATGGGAGTGGGGAAGGCGCCCAGGACAAGGCATGGACACTAGTAGCACTAGTACACGGGCGGTGGTCAGGTGCAAGCCAACCTCGCTCTGCCCAGTGGTGCCTTCCCGACTTCCATACTGAATTGCTTCATTTTGAGAAGCGACGAGTGGAACGACATTGGCAAACTTGGCAAGAGCTAGGATTTGCTACCTAAGCACTCCGAGGACTGGGTGCTGGCTCCAGAAGCAATACACTCATCAATTCACGGAACACATGTTTGCGTATGTACATGCCATAATGCTGCCTGCCTGCCACCGCACCGCCTTCGGTCGTCTCTGTTCTAGTTCAGTTGATTCCACACCACGGCCTGCGTGGACACAACTCCGGAACTGGAGGGTTGCTCTCGGAAAAGTGGGTCGTTCAACGGCAAGGGTGGGGGCTTCCCCAAGCTCGTCGCTTGGCAGCGTCGCAGCCTTCGTTTCCCGCAAGCACCTGGCATCATACGATGAATGCGAGGACAGACTAGTTGGGATTTTGGAGCATTTCCTACCCCGATCGAAGTGAGGCTGACAGCTAAGGAGTCTGCTTTTGAGGATGCAGAGAATGGCGAAACAAATGGCGGCGCGCCCATGTACTTGCGATCCCTGAGCGTTCTGGTTTCGCGACAGCCAAAGTGTCGCATCATCTGTTGATCTAGCACGACGGAAGCCATTGAGCCGTTGTACGTACATGCTGAATTTACTCGGTATGCGCCAAACCTTGAAGAGCGACGGCTTGTTTGAAGGTGCCGATGCCCGTGTCCCTCGTCCCCCCCCCCAACATTCTCCCGCACTAGCAATCAGAGCTCCAGAGCCGTGAGCGATGATGTTCGCCAGGTTCCTTTGGAGAACCACGACGCACAACCTTGTGGAATACGTCTGACCACCAAGGTCCTCCACAAGACACATACCTGATCAACCAGCTAATACTGCGACTCAACCCCGAGCAAGCAAACAAACAGTACTCGGGATTAGTCCGTAGAACTACGGAGTACCAGTTACCTATTAGTTTCTCGACAAGCTTCAACGTCGCTGCAACTCTGACATCGTCCACAAAAGCTTGTCCGAATCCACAGGTATAGGACGGCCTAAACGGTCGCTTAAAGTTTTTCTATATCCAAGTGCTTGATTCTCTAACTACTAGGTAGGCACCTAGGTACTACCTAGTAGAGCATGGTTTTGTGTAATCTCCTGCTGCGCCCGTTATGGAAGTCTCCGAAGTGTCATCGTGCGGGTCGATTTGGTCCGATGGCTTCTGGAAGCCTTCTTCATTTAGCACCACCGTTCAAAGACGGGCAAACACTCGTTGTCTTCACGTAGAAATGTCCTCACAAGGCTGGCTGTACTGGGAAATTTCGGCACAAATTGACATCATATGACGACAGCAACATGTCGGCGGTCGTGCCGGGCCAAAAGTATCGCCAGCCCCATGGCCGTGCGCCTGCACTGCCTTTTTACAGATGCAAACAAACAAACTCTGATAAACAGGCCAAGTCTCTTGCCTATTCTGTAGACGTGTTGAGCACAGATTAGAAGCACACAATGCAAATCGTTTCATCATTCGGAATGCCAGTAGTAATCGTACAGCCACCTCTTCTTCCACCGTGAGCCCGTGACCACAGGCCCCTTTTTTGGATATCGCCTCCTTCGCCTAGACAGTCACAAGTCTACACGGCAAAAGCATCACGCAAGCCCCATGCCCGCATGAGCCTCCGTCACACCTCGAGCTATTCGACGGCTACTCACCGAATCTCGGGCTCTCTCATAAAATCCGGAATCGAGAACCCAGCCTCGCCACCTTCCAGCCTCGCCGCCGCAAAATCCCTTACGATATCGCCCAGCTTGTCCGCGGCGCCAAACGCGCTCGCCGCACCCTCCTCCTCGGCGGCGGCCGTGTCCCTCCCCGCTCCCTGGGCGGCATCCGCATCAAACGCGTATATCTTGATCCCCCGCAGGTGCGTGTCCTTGCCGTTCTGGTGATTCTCCAGGATCTGCATCTGCAGGACGTACGAGACGAGCGTGTTGCCGTCCGGGTCGCCGCCCGCCCCGGCAATAGGCACCTGCTGCCACCCCACGGGGCTTTCCATGGCCATGGTGGCAAACTCGATGAGGTTGTTCTCGCTGGTGCCCGACTTGAAGATGATCTTGGTGGGCGTGTAGGACTCGTCCTCGCTATAGTCGACGAAGAAGCGGATGTCGCGGATGCCGACGCGCTTGACAAAGTAGACTGTTAACTTGTGCGGCTGGGGCCCGTCTGATCTAATTCGTTGGCATTGTGAGTCTGGATTCTGTGTTGTTGTTTTGGGGGGGAGATTGATGCCAAAACGTACTGCCAGTATAGCTTGAGATCATCGCTTCGCAGCTCTTCCACCCCGTTTCCTGGCTTGTGACTGCTCACGGTGAACCTGCCGAGGTTGGAAATCTCCTTGAGTCCAAGGGCTGCAGGGTCGACTAGGCTGACGGCTTCTTCTGGCTCTTCTTCCGACGACTCCTCGTCTGCCTGTTCTTCGAGACTGGTGTCTTCGGCCTCGTACTGTTCCTGCGACAAGACCTCGTCGTCGTACGCCATATTGTTGTTCATGTTACGTATTTGGTCTGTCATGGGGTGGCGGCCCCGGGCCATAGCCAGGACGCTTAGGTCTGGCTCGGAGCTGGATTCATCTGAGTCGTAGGGCATGCTGAGCCGAGGGCCGGCGTAATGCGCCGCTGTTCAGGGTGTTAGAAAGTTTGTGATCTTGAGGTTTTTGCTGGTGATTTTCAGACGAGAGTCGGGGGATAGTTGGCTGTAGTGTCGTAGGCTGGATGCGTAAAAAGGGATGGGAGGGAGAGGATGGGTTGCGACGTTCAAAAGCGTGATGCCGTGCTTCGAGGCTCGTTTGGTCTGCGAAGGAGAGAGAGACGCCTGCGGCCAGGGGTGTTTTCTTGGTGGAAGGCAGGTATTTCTTCTGAAGGGGATTTCGTTGAGGCCTTGCGCTTGGTCTGGCCCGCAGCGATGAGCGTTGCAACGAGATGCTCTTGCTGAAAACGTCAAATGGCATGAAGGTTCAAGCAGAGCTACTACTAAGCAGTCTGGTGCCTTGTGGCCATGAAACCGTTACCGGTCAAACCCTCACGTCTCGTCAAGTACAACAAGACCAGCCCATTGTTATATTGACACTTGGCACAAAATCACCAACACCGCTCGACGCAAACCCCAAGGGAAACAGCCGAGTCCAAAGAGTGAACTATGAAGGCCTCGCCCCATCTCCACGACTCATCGCCCTCCATCCTGGCTCGAAACCAGAAACCAGCACAAAATATCAAGACCTCCAAAGGAATTAGAAAAGACAAACTCACTCCTATGCAGCCGGAACGGATGCGGCGCCGGTCCCGCCAGGCCCGTCTGCAAACCGCCTTGGCTCCTTTGGCCGCCAAGCTGCTCCGGCGTCCGATGCGAATAACTCGGCGTGGCCTGCTGCCTCCTCACCACCGGCGGCGGGGCCTCTGCTCTCCTCCTCGAGCCAGGATTCGATTCGTACTGCAGATCCGGCGTCTGCGCGGCATGTGCCACGGTCGTGGTCCCGGGTGTGGTGATGGCTCGCGCAGCAAAGTCGCGCTGTCGTGGTCGTTGTTCCTGCCGCCGTCCGTCGTCCACGTCTTCCTCGGACGCGGCAACGACGGCGTGAGCATTGGCACTGGCATTGGCGGCTACATGACGGGCTCGACGCGAGCCACGCGTAATGTCCATGACTATTATGCCCGGCCGCTTGGAACTCGTTACGGAAAGGGATGCCACACCACCACTACCACTGGGTACGCTATTGGGATTGGAGGGCTGGAGCGAAACGGGGGGGGCCTACGGCGTGGCTAGCATGGCTGTACCTGGCGATACGGGGACTGTACGCATGAACAGTGCTGAATGGATGGTAATTCTTGGGGACACGGGCACCGCCCTTTTTTTTTCAATTTCCGTGTGTTTCATGGCCGATTTGCTGGGTGTTTAAACGGTGGAGTTTTGGACGCGTGGTCACGTGTATAGGGTGGGTGGTGAGTGGTGAAATGAAGCTGGCCGACTTGTGTTGATGCGGATTTTTATTAGAGATTTTTTTTTTTTAAAAAAAAAAAAAAACATTAAAATTATTGTGAGTGCATATTCGAGGTGTCCCTTTTTCTTTCCATTCTCGTGACTTGCTTCTGCTTTGTGGCTGTGATGCAGATACTTGACTCGATAACTGGCATCTCAACACACCTGCGAGGGAATTATACGAACTACTTGACCGAGTCCATTATCAAAGTAGCAATAAACAGACAGGCAGGTAGCAGCCATAGTCTTAGGGCACTCGTTCAGGAATTTTCAAGTCGAACAAGCCATTTCAAAAATCTCACTATTATTGCATCAATGACAACTTCAGGTCGCCCAACGACTTACCCACACCCAGGCCTTGTTTATAATTCATACTCGGTGCTTCACAAAGGCCAAATTCTTAACCACAGACACATAAATATAAACGTCAACGTGGCTAAAACCTCATATATTCCCAATAACCCAACACCAACCGTATAATCCAAAAGGAAAAAAAAAAACCACAACTGAATCCAGGTCATCTGTTAAACTTACCACCCACACGCCGGCTCGGCCATCACCAATAATCGGACCAAGCATGTCGAATCGTCGATACCCTCTCCCCATCAAACAACATGCCATCACAATCCCCTCAGCTCATCCGGCACCTTTCCCTCCCGAACCCAAATATTCATCCCGACCTTCTCCCCCCGCACCACCGGCAAACCAGCGTGCAAAACCCGCTCATCCCCCCTCCCAGAAACCATATTCTCCCAAAACACCGCATTGCCCTCCACCGGTCTAAACGTCACGCCCTTCTCGTACTCCTCGTCGCAATCTACAAATTTGCACCACTCACCGCTCTTGGCATCCAGGAATGGGAAGTTCGTCCCGCCACCAACCACACCCTCCGCTTTGATGTATCCAAAGATGGAGGAGGCTCTGTTGCCGCCCAGCGAAGCAACGGCATGCTGGGCGTCCGTGAACCAATCCGTGTGGAAGTGATATCGCTCCGTGGGCGCGTATTTCACAAGCTGGATGGGTTCCACGTTGGAGACAGGCACGTCAAGGCCTTGGAGGTCAAGCGCGCGGCGTTCGATGCAACGGACCGTGGGGGAGCGGCGGACCGATGTCGACTGGGAGGTGCGGACGGCGTGGATTGTCTGCGAGGAGTCGCTGGTTACGTGTGAGTGCTTGAAGGTGCCGTTGCTGTTGGTGTCAGCATGTCGCGTGATGATGGGGATATGACGCATTGGTTCAGTTGATATTGGGTATACGAGATGGTGTTGTAGGGGGAGCAAACCCGTACGCCAACTCTAGGAGATGTCTTCGTTCTTCGGGTGTAATGAAGCCCTCGAGGTACATCACCAGTGGGGATTTGCTGGCGACATAAACTTTATACGGCGGATGCACACATTCGAATTCGTTGGAGAGAGGAGTTTGGGTTTCGCCATGTGTGAGCAGCGCGAGCATGAATAGTATGGCGCCGTAGGCAAGACCTTTGCAGGACATGTTGACTTTTCTCAAATTGAACCTGCTTGAGCATCAAAATCTTTTGCAACCCAGCTGAAGATGGCTGCCTGCAACATTTATTTACTATAGCCTCAAGCCAGGGGCACTTGAAACTCATGGCACATCTCGAGCCGCGGCTCAGGCTTCATCGACGCCTCCGCTACATGGGTGCGTCACAGAATTCGGGTGCCCCTCATCCTACATGAGCTTCAATTGCAATAAAGTCCGGAAGGTTTCCCGTGGTATTGCGGAGGCAATTCCATCCTACCAGACAAACGACGATATATGAAGCCACCATGAGGTCCCAATTTTCGGCAATGACCTTGCTGGCATGCCAGGCACTGGCTTGGAGCCACAGTAGTGCCAAGGAGCTGAAAAGTTTGTTGACGAAGAGGGACAATACTTTGGTTGCCTGTAAGCTTTAAAAGAAGAAGGAAAATCATTAAAAAGAAAGAAAAAAGGCCCTGCTAACATGATGGTAGTTGTCGTGGTGAGTGGATGGACCTACACCATCGCATAATAATTCTAGTTGACAGTCGAATCACGTCAAATAGCCTGACCAGTAGGTTGAGAATCAACCCAAGACTTCATCTGATGGTAATTGAGATCGTCCAGCGAGGCCAGCAAGACTCTATTGCCAGAATGGACTACTCTCCAAGATAAAATTGCAACCAAGTCGATCGATTGTATTGTCTCACAGGATTTGTGCGCTGAGTTCGATGTCGTCTCGTTCCCTGCTATTCGTCTGTATCGTGGAGACCAACCAATGATCCGATATCGTGGACCACGCACAGCCTCGTCGTGAGTCTTCTCCGAGCTATAGCCTGTGATTGGGCTCTCGCTCTCATTGCCAATGTCTAAGCTGCTTTTAGTCTCATGTCCTTCTTCGCACGACAACAGCAACCTGCATATACCAAATTGAGCAAGAATCAAATAGAAAGGTTTACTACCACAGACGACTTCGTTGTCATAGCGCACTTGCACGAAGACGACGAGGAATTGCTCAGTCGATTCTCCACAACTGCCGAAGCGTATAGAGATCGCTACTCATTCGGGTATTCGACCGACGTTGCGCAACAAGACGCGAGCAGATTAACATGCTACAATAACATTGACAACCTGGAGCACTCAGAGGCAGAACTAGACCAAAGCGGAGTCATTGAACGATTCCTCGAGACTTGCAAGGAACTATTGATTCCGCAATTGACGCGGAGGACAGAGCTCAAGTACAGGCGGGTGAGCTGTTAAACCCCAACTGTCTGTATTGGGACAGAGAGTGAGCATGGGTGCTAACTTGGAAAATCATAGCCCGGGAAGTCGTTGGTGTACTATTTTACTGGCGAAGAGTCCGACCGAGACTTGTACGTGAAGAGGATGAAGCCGCTTGCCAGGACATACCACGAATATTTAAGGTTTGTGACAGTTGACAGTACCGAATATGCCGACATGTCGCGCGGCATGGGCCTGGAATTGGAGAGAGGTCTCGTGGTGGAAAACACACACGGCGGTCAGCTCTTCCCATACCGCGGCTCAGGTGGTATTGGGATCGGAGAGGTTGAAAACTTTATTACGGCAATTTCGCAGGGAGCAGTTCAGCCCTGGACAGGGCACCGTGATGACTCCGCAAAAGACACAGGTGGCTGGAGCAAACACAATGTGCGCGATGAACTCTGAGACGGCTCCAGATGGCGTTATTGAAACTCGTGGGTGGGTGACACGCTATGATTGGGTCGTCGAGACCAAGCATTTTCTTAATCAAAGGCTTCCGGTGCCTGGCAGGGCCGGCGGGAGACTGACCTGACTAGACTTGCTGATGGGACTAGCCTGGACTAGTAGCCCGACAGACTACAATGTACTCCGTACTATGCATAATAGTAAGAAGTACTATCAGTAATAAAAGGCCAGGGGAGCCACATTTAATGACGATCTAGACGATCCAACCCATGGGGGCAGAGGCTCCTTGCAAGAACCGTTGAACCCTTTGAAAGCTGGTTCAATCTCTGCCCCGAGGCCCACAGGACCATTGCTCTGGATCCGTGGGTTGAGCCACCCTGATCGGCGGTACTTGTTACTGCCGTGTACTCCGTAGTCGCATTTCTTTGTCGAGGATGATGGCCATCTTCTCCGGCGTAAAAGGCGTCGGCAGGGCTGCATTCTACCGCTTTCAGCTCGCGGCGGAGGGATACTCTGCACCAAGGCTGAGCGAAGCCGTCACTGGTCCGCGCCACGTCTCGTGTTGCACTTGACTGCTCGGGGTGCTTTCAATGTTGGGTGGTGGCTGTTTTCGGGGGGGTCGTCCACGTTACTGGCGCGCAACTGGGTCATGGTGGTTTTCTGTAACAGAGTAAGCAGGTGATAAGGCGACAATGACAAGGTTGATGCGGACGGATACTACACAAGTTGCCCACCTAGGTGGGTAGGTGAGGTGACACGAGTTGAGAGGACTGAAGGGATAACGTGGCAGACATTGCCAGGAAAAATGCCCGTGGCCCCGACACCTGAGCTAACATTAGAATCCGGTGGTGCAGTAATCAACTGATAGCCTCGGACGTTCCAGCCGAGCGTGGTGAGCGCTAGTAGTGCCACAAATTCAAGTTGACGCAAGGTGCGGAGGTTGCAGGGTGAGGCGATGCAGACGCAAAGCAGACAGCCAGTCAGGAGACCGGGGCACAGGTTTTGCGTTTGGACATGTTGAGCCAAGCACGGGAAAGGAAGGTGGGCGGAAAATAGGATAAGTGTTTCCGAGGCTTCGAACCTTTCAAGTTGGAAAATTGGTTCTACGATTTCCATGTTAGAAGACGTGCCCTGCAATTAATCGGTAGCCTACTCCATACATCCCGAATATCTAAGTACCTAGTACGTACTTATGTACGGAGTAAGTACTTAAAGTACGCACATAAATGCGCAGCATCTGCCGACTGAGCCGCGAGAATCCACTCAAGTCTGTCTGGCGCACTCGCAGCGAGATGATAGGTACTTGACCGACACCAGACGGGGAAAACCTGGGAATATTGACCCCGACATTGAAGGCGACTGGCACAGGGTTGTGCGCGTTTGTGGGCGCCTGTGGACTCGTGGCGGGCCCATGTCGACTATGTACTTGCTCGACATGTTTGAAGCCGACGTTTTGACCTTTAATGTTGACATGATCCTGTCTGCCAGCCCCAGGGGGGAGGCCAATGCTTCTAGTCAGCGGCATACAGTGATAAAACTTGGCCAGCTTGCCAGTGTACCGAGTTGTCTGGTTGCACAGAGTTCCAGCCATGTTCACTGCTGCTGGATGGCGCTTGACGCAATCACCGCCGCCGCCACCTCGTCAATGGCCATTTGTGCCTCTTTCGAATAGAGTGCGAGACCATGGAAAGACGAGGTTCGGCGGAGACCCTTGCCGAGACATGGCCCCTACGTCGTCAAAGACCCGGTGAGCCTGAACACCCTCTAATTGCTGGATTCGTCACTAGTGCGCGATGAGAGGCCAAAAAAAGAGAACAGAGTTCGCCTTGTTCCCATCAAGCGGGTCTGCAGGACAGCTGGGGTCTTTCTGTCTTGTGTCTCGTGTATCCTAGCACGTTGTCTTGTGCCATCAATACTGCTCAAGTGCACAGCTGATCCTGCCAGAAGCAAGTACCCTCCTCGCTCGACTGCCACCGCCTAGCCGTCGGCTAGCCGCGAATCTCGTCTTTGAAATGGCGTCGACCGGCATTTGGGGCCTTTATTGCGCAGCTAGTCCACTTCCCAAGTACATCCATCCGTATGGTACCTATCCACGTTGCAGAGTTGTCGTAGTACGTACGAAGCTAAGTTGCTGCGTCCATGTCCGCGCCGCCCCAGTCTGTGTTGGGGTGTGTTTCGCTGTTTGCCTTTTTCTTTATGCCTCGAGCACCTCCGATTTTTTTCATCCAACCCTGACTCGGATTTTCTTCTACCTCTTCTTCTACCTCTTCTTCTTCTTCTTCATCGTCGTTTTCCTCTTTTCCTGGCCTGGGCTTAAAGAGTATCAACTCTGCCCCTTTGTCTGTGCTTGCTCGCGTGGAAGAAGCTGGAGAATACAAGGCCTGGTTTAAGCTACCTGTGCTTCACATTCGTTCATTGGACCATTCCGAAGAGGCCGTTCAGCCCACGTGTCTGCCAGCTCCTCGAAGTACTGCGATTAGTCCGAAAACAGGATCGAATCCGTTCAGACTTTGACTGTGTATCTCCGGGATCTTTTTGCATCTTTTTGCATCTTTTTCTTCTTGTTTCATTATCATTATCATCATCATTATTATTCATCCGGCACCGCTTTTCTCTCTCTTTTTTTTTTCTCGGAACCTCGGTTGCTTTAATCTCGGACAGTTCGCGACTGTCTTTTCTTCCCTTGGCTCTGTCGTATCATGTTAGGTCTTTGGGACAAGCAAACTTGGCCTTCACCAATCGTCGGCAGAATGGCATCCACTAGACTTTGCTCGAGAAGGGCTATTCTTTTTATGATGGTGCTCTGTCTGTTTATGTTGGTGGTGATGCTCAGCTCGAAACAACTAGGTCCGTTATGTGACGGCCCCTATTGCGACATCTACGGCTTGCGAGAAAAGCTGCCCAAGCTTGGAAACGATTACGCATCCGACAGCAAACTTACAGGCGACAAAGGTCACGATGGGGCTCAGCACGTCGAACAGGACTTCAAATCTCCCGGGCTTGATGACGAATGTGCGCTGTTCCCCAACACTTCCAGTGTCTTGCTCATCATGAAGACTGGCGCCTCTGAATCCTATTCTAAAATCCCTACCCAACTTATGACCAACCTTAAGTGTGTACCCGACTTTCTTTTCTTCAGCGACATGGCTCAAAAGATTGCGGGCTACACCATCCATGACAGTCTTGACACCGTGCTGGACGAAGTCAAGGAAAAGAACAAGGATTTCGACCTCTACTACCGACAGAAGAAATGTCCCGTCGACCAAGAACAGTGCAACAAGGACTATGATGTGGCTCAGCAAGGATGGAGCCTGGACAAGTATAAGAATATTCATATGGCGGAAAAGGCATACAAAATGCGACCCGGCTACGACTGGTATCTGTTTGTTGACGCCGACACCTATGTTGTTTTCCCCACGTTGATGGAGTGGTTGAAGCAAATGGATCCCAACAAGCCGCATTACATTGGCAGCGTCGCCTACCTTGCTAATTTTCCATTTGGCCACGGTGGTAGCGGTTATCTCGTGTCCAGGGGGACCATGCACTCCATGTTTCACGGCAAAACCGGTGTTGCGAATAAATACGACGAGCCGGTTCAACACACCTGCTGCGGTGATTTTATGTGGTCAAAGGCTTTGAAGGACGAGACTGGTATTCCGGTCGTCAATGCCGTAAGCATCCCGAGACTGACAGTATCGTACAACAATCGCTAACGTGTCTCAGTGGCCTGTTATCAATGGGGAGAAACCACACACCATTCCATATGCAGAAGACGAGTGGTGCCAGCCCATTGTCACCATGCACCACGTTGTTGCCGAGGACATCTCTGACCTGTACGCTTTCGAAAAAGAGCGCAAGTTCAAGAAGATGCTGCGAATCAAGGACCTGTATCACAAGTTTATGAGCCCGGAGCTGGTGGAGGCACGACCAGACTGGGACAATCTGAGTGAGGATGTGTACTACCTCAACAGCACCCGGGCCGAGTACGACGAGTGGGACTTGGCCAAAGCCAAGACTGAAAATCTATCAGACGCAGAAGCTGATGCCTACAAGAGTTTTGACGACTGCAAGAAGGCCTGTCTGAGCATGACCAACTGCTTCCAATTCCGCTACCAGAATAGCATTTGCGGAATTTCCCACAAAATCAAGCACGGCAAACCTGCTAAAAAGGGCAACGACGACTCTAAGCGATACATGAGTGGGTGGAACGTGGAGAATATCAAGAAGTGGGTTGAGGAGCAAGGTGATTGCGACAAACACAATTTCAAATGGCCAGTCAGCGACAAGTAAATCTTGGACCACGCGACTTTGTGAACCGCAGATTGATATAAGCCCAGTCAGTCCCTTGACGCCACAAACGACATTGGGACCCGTCCGCAGATGACTTGGATTGCTGCGTGCTGATTGGGCGAGCTGAGCCAAAACCTGCCACTATGGCATGGGCAGGTCGACTCCGATTTTTGTTACTTCCTCTTCTCTTTCGTTTTCTTTCCGGCGGCTCATCAGTGAAAGCTGTTTTGGAAAGGTAAAAAGTAAAAAAGGTATCTGCTATTACCTTGTGTCGTTCTTGACTTTTTTCATGATTAGAGGCGGATCAAAGGATAAAAACATGTTGGTTGACGTTTTTGGAATACTACATCGGTCGGGCGAAGTAGGCAGGTAGCCTCAAGCTGCACGCCATGAGGCGCATCTTGGAATATCGGCGGCAACGGCACGGGCCAGCAAATGACGACATTGGATGGGCGAATTCGGCTTGCATTTTGGATTACGGTACGCTTGGGGGGTTTTCAGGAACATGCAACGATATACCCGCCTCCCGAATGGTTGGGAGGCATTGGAATTCAAAATCCTATGCCTACCTGGGATATGCCAGCGGCGCTGGCTTTTTTATTCTTATTTTCCTTATTTGTGGTTTAAGCAAAGCGAACATAATTTATCTCTGGGGTGAACAGGAGTTCTAATAGGAGGCAATAGATGGCACTGGCGAAAGCTCCGACGTGTTAAGACTATGATGATACGGTGACAAGGCGACAAGATGAAGGTGTGTCAGTTGATTGCCACATGACATGGTCATGTTGCCATGACGCAGTTGAAAGTTGAAAGTTGGACAGATCGGTACCCGATCGTGCAGCTATGCAAGAGGGTCTAATTATGGTCCATGGTGGATAATAAGGGACCAAAAGTACGGGTACGCAATAAGGGGGAATAGGTTGGCCCACACGTTATCAGTGCCCCCATGCTGGTTGGTTCGTTGCACGACGTGAACTAGTGGTTGCGGCACGACCTGCCGGCACGTACGGTACATATGTACATACGCATGTGTGGCGATGGGGGAACGTTTAAAGTTGTCTTGGATGCGACGCGAGGGCCTTGTGCCGCTTTGTCGGGTGTGGGTAGGCGGCTGAATAATACCATCAATGATAGAATTAAAAAAAAAAAAAAAGCTTGAATACTACCGTCCTGCCTTGACCCCGTAGCGGGCGAGCTGTGCATAGCGCCCAAAGGTTGGATGGCAGAGACGTGATGTGTAGGAGGTGGTATTGCAGGAGGCTGACCAGGGCGCGGCTGCCTGTCATGTCGGGTCGACGGTAGCACTTGACCTGTGTGGTCCCGGTTGGAGTGGCAGCGTGCAGTGCCTGGCTAGTGGGCTTTTGAGATTGCGGCCCGTCAGGCTATGCGCCGCCCCCGTCAACTACCCCGCCGAGACCCCACCGTCCAGTCCTGCAGCATCAATTGATCTGGTTGGCACCGGGGACTTGAGATGTTGGCGGTTTGCGGTTCCTGAGGGTAGGGCAGCGACGGTCGTGCATGAATGACGGCAGATGGAGGGTGGCAGCGGGCAGTGAGGCCATGCGGTGGGCGGTACGGAGTACGGAGTAATTGATGCCAATACACTTGAGCATGCAGTGCCGCGACCAGTTGACGCGTTATTTAACCACTCCGGGTCGTTCATTTGACTGATTATTAGCACCGTGTAGATATAGTGCCGTGTACTCCGTACATACGTACTGCCGGATACATATCTGTATGTATTCGGACACGTTGCACTGCAAACTTTCGCGCGCCTTCCTCCAGTCCTCCGGCAACTTTTACAGCTGCGCAACTCTTGTTAGTTTCTGCTAGTCTGCCACCCCTTGGATCGATCCATCCTAAAGGGGGAGCGCGCACGGGAAACACAGGACACCCGACCCAGCATTTGGCATCTGGCATTTGGCATCTGGCATCTGGCTGGCATTTTGAGCATTCGGGCACTCAGACAAGGCTGCAGCTGGCGACTGACGGGGGCATGAGATATGAGATGCAGCCATGACTCTAGTCTCTGGGTGAAGCTCACGCGGGCTCGCACTGGGCTCGCACTGGGCTCCGTATCACCCCTGGCTTTCAATGCTGCACCCCCCAGATGTCCCGGTGCCGGTACATGGCAAACCCAACATGGCCTCTCACTGCCCACTGTGCCTGTCGCTTTGCTGCGCCAGGCTGTTGCTCCGGATTCCCTCCTGCCTTCCATGTTCCATTCCACTCCACATCAATCATTGCGCCCCCCCCCCCGTGCCAGTCTCGTCCATTCTTGTTCAATCTGGTCCAATCTTGTCTAGTCTTGCCCAGTCTGCTTCCCGTCTTCCCTCTTCCTTCTTCCTGGCTTCCGCCTTCGCCAAATCTTATATCTCCTTCGCCTCTTGCTCGCCTCTTGACCCCAATTTCTCATTTCCAATTCCCCCCATCTTCTACTGTACACTGTTATATCCCAGCGTTGCCGCTTTTTTTTTATTGCTACTGCTGCCGCTACTGCTACTGCCACCGCTACCGCTGCCGCTACCAAGACCGTTGGCCGCTCATCGTTTTGAACTACACCATACTTGTACCGCACCAGCTCGACCCTCGCCAGCTTCGCCAGCACCCACCGTACATAGAAACTACAAACTACGCCATCTTCACAATGACTGACGCTGAGCTCGATCGCGACTGGGTCCCCAACGGACGCCGACCCTTATCGTACGTCTTTTCGTATCCTCTCCTTTGGTCAATGCCTCTTCTCCCCAAGTTGAATCGGCATGGCGGCGTTTGATAAGGGGTAGCGAGCAACCACGCCAGCTCTCCTATTCTTTCCCGCCTTTCACACATGAGAGCTAACAAGCTGTCACTTGCTTTAGGACTGTGGCCCGCTCCTTCTCCCAAGAGCTGATGGACATCTTCCGCATCGACAACTCCGTTTCTGACCTCGATCAGCAAGTTTCTGAAAGGTTCGTCATCCCAAGTCGTCTATAAAACTCCCTCGTCGCCCCACCTGCAGCTGCACAACCTAACGCCCCTGGGCATTCAGACGCGAAACCGTGGGCAAAAACAACCAGGAGCTTGCCGACCTCGAAGCCCGTATCCGCGAAATGGAGGAACGCCTCCGTCGCAACAAGGGCGGCAATTCTGCTCAGCGATCTCAACAGTCTGCAAGTGTTGCTCCCCCTGCACCCTCAAAGGGTGAAAACAAGCCGCGACCAGGTACGACTCGTGCCCCCCAGCAAGCACCCAGTTCTGGCAACATGCCCCCAACGCCTGGGGCCAGCGAAGGTGATTATTATCTCGTGACCCGGGCTGATTTGGACGACTCCCCTCGCTGACTTGCTCCTTTTTTGGCCTCGATGACAGACGGTGATGCCGAACTGTAAACAACACATTCTCGGTCCGTGTACTTTGGTGCTTGTCAAGCTATTTGGCTTTTCGTCAGGGGGGGCGGGTCGCTTCTTTGTTTCCAGGCACACGGTCAGCCACGAACGAATATAGTCTCATGATTTGGTCACCGACTGAAACCATGAGCCTCATCTTCACCAAGCCACATGGAGGCCCCGCCTCGTATTGGGCGGGGTCATGCCGAGGACCACACGCTTCAAATTCTACTTTTTATGTATGGGTAGGGAGACCACGGATGCACACCCATTATACCAATGCTCCCTGATCAATATGTTTTTGTATTTACTTCGTCACTCGTTCTGGACGAAATTATCCTCGGCGTTTAAACGGCTTCAACGACACTTATTGTTCCCGTGCGACTATCTGGAAACACCAGATACCCGATTCACTGTACTCGTTTTTTTATTATAAACCAACTTTCTCTCGAGATATGAGTTACTTTTACCGGTTCGCCCACGCTCATCGGCAGGCCCAGACCACTCGCACAACCATGGCCATTACAAGTCTTTTTAATATTTAGTTGGGGATCCTTATTTTTTTTTTAAACCTTGTTTTCTTGGTGCGACAAGGAGACACTGGGAGCATTGAGGAAGGCTCAACGATGCAACGGGGAAGAGATTGGGAAACATTGCAAGGGCTCTGCTAGAGCGATGGGAAAGATGCGGCAATTCTTGATGCTTCTCAGCCTGGTCCTGAGAGCCAATGACTTTCGGACTTGTAATATCACGACTAGGATGTTGCCTGTGCTTCAATGTCCATTTCCCTTGTCCATTACTTGTCCTGCTCAGTGATTGTGGCGTGCCATGTGCAGGCCTTGTTTCGCCCACACCTGTATTGTATGCGTTGGTGAGAAGTAGCTTGCTGGCCTGTTTTGCGCCGTGTCGCCTTTTCCAGGAGTTCCCAGTTGCACAGAAGTTTCCGTGACATTGTTTATAATAGTGGGAGGCTAACCAATTCTCGAGCCTATCTGCCATAGCCCAATGATTCCAAGAAGAAATTAAAAGAGACAACACAGAATATTAGCTACGTACAGTTTATGGCAGAGTATATTTACCTAGGTACCTACCAAGATGCATACACTAATGTACTGTAATATATTATACATACACACGAAGATATTATATTATATTATAGTATAAAGCGCTATAAAGAAGTACTTTATTTAAGCACGTACTTTTGCTTGCTTTTATAACAAACTATAATAAGTGTATTGTGGTATGGAGTAATAGCTTTATTTAGTAGCTGTCTAATCTACCCACTACCCAGTGCCCAGCACGTAGTTAAATAGTTACTTGCTTCCTGCATACGTCATCTATGCATCGTGAAGGATCTTATTAGCTAACCCAATTCTGTTCTTGCCAACATCAAAAGCCACGAAAACCGCTTTGAGCATCACGTCGCCCAGGACAGTCTCGGTCATGTCTTTGGCGCTTTGCATGCCGGCCCAGCAGAGGGAGGGCTCCGTATCGAGCGGACCGTAGTTGAGATATGGGCCTGGTATACGAATAACGTGTTCCGTTGGAAGCTTGAATAGGAGATCGGGGAGATCTTGAGAACCCTCACAGGGGAATTTGTACACGCCTGAGAGCAGGTCAGATTTCTGGACACCTGGGACATCTTCCCAGTATCTGCTAGCGAGGGGGTCTGGCAAGAACAAGAGAGACGTCCCGGTGTCGACGGTGGCCTGAAACTTGTGATACATCCACATTGGGTTTTTACCACGCCAAGCGGTGAGCTCTAGTTCAATATCCCAGTGGGGGCTGTCTGGGTTTGAGTCCAGCCATGTGATGTTGTCTGCAGCCATGGATTCGTTGATATACCCAAAATCGAAGCGGCTGGATGCGTTTCGGCGCAGGTCGACTGTAAACACGGGCTTCTTTAACCGGGATCGGAGTAGGGAGAGGAATGACGGAGTAGGGGGCGTGATGTTGTTAGGAAGCTGTTTTGCTAGCCCCATGATGCCGCTGACACTGGTTTCTCGTTCGAACCGGGGTGCCATGATCTGGGCCGATTCAATAGGGACATGCTTCATTTCTAAGCCTCCCAACCGGAGTGTGTCACGGTAAACGATGCCGGTCGCCGTGGTTCCGTCCACTGCATGTCAGTGTAAGCTATGTTGCCAAGGTGAAGGTTGCACCTTAATGCGACAACTCACAGTACTCAACACCCCAGAAGGCCTTGTCAACGCGGGTGGATGTGCTGGAATTCTTTGGCAGGTATCGAGGCGCCCAGGGGCCATTCTCGTTGACCCGGTATATTGAATCTGAAGATTGGACCCAGCTGTGGCGGTCAGTATAAACTGGCTGTGACTTTATTCCAGTCGAGACGCATCTGGGTATCTTACACATCCGAGGAACCAGTATCCAGTATCATCTTCAGCTTCTGAGCTGGCGTTCCAAACTCAACTTCTGTAACATATGCTTGGTCATTATCCAAGGGCTCGGCTGTGACAGACCCATCTACCACATGTTAGCCATCCTCGTACACTGAATGGTATTGTAGAGCTGGGATGAACCAACCCCCCTTCAATGCCATGTTGGAGCCCGGCACAGGTTTAGTCTTCCCCCATCGATTATGAGCTGCTTGCCAGTCGCTCAGGAAGTCCCTCCTCCCCTCCTGCCGAGACTTCGCCTCCAACGAGAAGCAGTCTAGTGTGTTACCCTCAAAAGGCACCGCAGCACCGAGAGACAGGGCGGCAAAAGCTGCCGAGAGAACAAGAAGTGCCCGCATTCTGAATGAAGATGCGACCAGGTGAATGTAAAGAGGAAGAAACAACACATCACTTGACAACCTACCCAGGTACCTACCTAAGTACCTAGGTAGGTAGACAACTAGGAGACAAACCGTCGACGGAAGCACAGCTGGTGGCAGCTGCCCAGTGCAAGGCTCAACCAACCTAAAATATACTACAGGGGGAGGCGAAAGGTCGATACCCGGATACCTACCTAGGTAGATAGTCATCGCGCTGTATATTATGCTATATTATAGTATATTGGTATATCCTTAGTAATAATGATACTATATACGTGTATACTTATCAACAGGTAAATATATTATTTGAAAACCCCTAGCAGGCGTAAGGGGTGTTTTGGTAACCGTTATTAACCCCATCAATTATAACAACACGGCTTATCAGAATTATTATTCAATACATCAAGACTTTTAACAGCCCGTCTCAATTAAGGAGCAAAGCTCCGCTTTTCCTAATACTCTACTGCCGTATAGTCTATTCATATGCCTCTCAGCTTTTGATACATGATACATCTCAATCGTAGCGACTTAAAAATATCCCCTACAACTCATCATGCCCGGGCTTCTCGCTGCTCTCCTTAGCCTTCTCAGTCTTCTCAGTCTTCTCGGGCTTCTTCTCCTTCTCCATGGCCTTGATTTTCTCCAACATCTCTTCCAGTTGCTCTTCCGTGAAACGCTGACCCTTGAAATCTTCAGCGCCCTCGCCCTTCTTTGACTTTCCCTTCTTGAGGTTCTGGGCGGCCTTTTTGGCCTTGCCTCCAAAGCCTTTGGCTCCCTTGAGGGCCAGATCCATGCTGACCTTGTCAAGCTTCTGGATCTTCTCGGAAATGTCCTTGACAAGGAGAACAGGGTTCGCATTACTGGGCAGTTTCTCTTGTTGAGGCTGCATCTCACTAAGCCACTCACTGGTGGTTTTGACAAGTGTTTCCAAGTCCTTCAGTTCTTCCTTCTTAAACAGAGGTGGGATGGGGCCAGGCTGCTCCTCGGGCTTATTGTCATTCTTAGTGTCCTTGGCATCCTCGTCCTCTAGACCATCGAACTCGCCTGTCGGAGTCTCGGCCGAAGCAGATGTCGTAGATGATCCGCTGGCGCTAGCGGAAGAAGCCGTTGCCTCCCACTCTTCATACTCTGCGATTTGCTTGTGTATGGAGTCAAGGTACTCGCTAATGCGCTTTATGGAATCCTTCAGTGCAGTGATCCGCCCAGGTCGCTTTTCGGCCTCTTCGATTCTCGTCTGTACAGGTACAACAACGTCTTGAAGAATCTTCAGCTTAGCTTTGAGTATTTCCGTAGTAGCGTCGGCTCCATCCCCAGATAACCAATCGCCGATTTCACTGGATTGTTTAGCCAAGTCAGCGCGTTCCTTCTCTGTCGAGGCATCGATGAACGAGTCTCCATCCAGGAGATCTCGGACATTATAAGTGTAGGCTTCAAGCTGGCTGAGAGCTTCCGCGCGCTGAGCCTTGGCCTTGTCAGAGGCTGCGAATGCTTTGAGTCTATCCTTGGCTTTGACCAGCTCGGACTTGGTCAGTGTAGGAGCGCCCGTCTTCTCCAAAACAACTTCAACAGGAATTGAAACAGTCTGTTTTTGCTTCACCTCTCTGACTTCCTCGCTAGGGGCAGCTGACTCGGACGAACTGGAGGCGGTGGATGAGTCGGTCGTGGAGGATGAAGACGAGGCGGACGACTTGGCTTCTTCCTTCGGGGCCTCCTCAGAGCCCTCGGGTTTTTTAGAATCGGCATTCTTCCCATTGCCCTTGAGAGGCTTCTGGTCCTTCTTCCCAAAGCCAAACAAGTTCTTGACGCCGTCGACAATACGTTCCTTCACAGTTACTTCGGCCTCGCATTCTACAGCTGCCCTGACGACCTGGATCTCTCCATTTTCGCCAAGTAACTTAACACCAAGCTTGAACACAATTTCAGACTCCACGCAGGAGGGGTACTTCTCCTTGATGGCTGCCACAGTAGCAGTCAGGTTCTTAGTCGACAATGAAGCGATATCCCTGTCGTCGTCACCAACTTGTTGGTAGAAGGAAAGCGCAAAGTCATTGTGGTCGTTAAAAGTTATTTCCTTTGCGACACCGCCTAGAGGTGAGATAGCAGTCCAGAGACGCTGTCGCTTTTCGCCGTTCGCACGCTTCAGGCCGGCAGCGTACATGGGGCCTTCAAAGATCCTGAT